CATTTAGCAAAACGCAAGACTATCAAACTACGCTCATCAGTTCCATGGGGGCGCGGGGGGGGGGCGAAGGAGAACAAGCCTTACTTTCCTTCCACCGTTTTAGGCCGTTTGCCCAGTCGAACTACGCCTGGTTTCTAAATATACAGTATTCGCTTAGGATATGGCTAGTTGTGCAAAGAGGTGGGCGTTGGAAGATTGATCTTGCTTTTCCTGCAAGAAGGGGCGTTTTGTTTGACTGATCTTCCGCAAAAGAACCGGAGCGGCGCAGGTGCGTACGGGTGGCTCCTACAGGGCACGGCGGGCAGGCGGGTTCTTCAGTTCGCCGCTTACGCTTGGAAGGGCGAGCTGCGATGCTGCTTAAAGAGAGCGTGTCTTAACTCGGTGGAAATGTCCCCAGCGCTGCTCCTCCGACTAAATCCAGCATATTGTTCGTTTGACTCTAATAAACATGCACAGGTCTCCGCCGGCAAATTACAAGCGACCGGCGTGGATTCATTAATTGGGCAGAGAACTGAGAAATGAAGAACTTGGGAGGGGAAAGAAGGGCCAATTAGTGCGCCAGCCTCCAGCCTCCTTCTGGCGGACGCCCAAATCTCAAGGGGCGGGGCTGGCGATGGCGAGCGCGGCTCCGCAGCTGTATGGCGTCAGCCCGCCCCACCTCCCCGCTCCTCGCCAGGCGCAGCGGCGTGCTTTGTCGGGCTGAGCGCAGAGCTCGGAGCTGTGTGTCAAAGGATAGAGAGCTGGCTTGGCCAATCGCATCACAAGACCTTGAGTGGCTGCCAAGTCTGCGAAGCGAACGGTAGTGGGGCGGTTGCACGGAAAGGGAGGGGGATCGCCCTCTTGGGAGGGAAGACGAGCCCCGCGGAGGGGGGGGGGCGCTCTTCCCCCGTCGTCGGCGCGCCAACCTTAACACGCCCTTGCGGGCAGCGGTGGAACTCCTGTCCCACCAGTTGGCCCGACCGGATTCGTTTCCAAAACCCGTGGTGTGACACCAGGCTCCTCGGAGGGAGAAAGAGGAGGAGTTGCGGGGCGTCCCATTTGACTCGCAGAGGCCTTGAAGTTTCTCCTGCCCCCCTGCGAACTTCCCAAGCGACCCAGCAGGGGTGTGAAACGGCCTGCACATCCCCACGCCGGCCTGTGTTTACTTGAGAACTTCCGAGCTGTGCGAGGACTTCGGGCAAAGAGGGAAAGAGCTGCTCTTTCTCTGCGCGTCACCTCTGCCAAGGGTTGCAGTTGTCTGACTACACCGCCCATCTCCCCACACTAAATGATGTAAGACGACTGTGCTACAATACTGAACCTAGAGAAGATCGCTGTTCGTAGATCTCTGGGTCTTTGCTAACTTTTGGATTTAAAAGGACTAATTCGTAAATATCCACAGGATCGCACGTCAATCCAGCCAAGTCCTGCCCTGTAGTTTTCTTTTCCACCGGCTTTCTGCGCTGTCTGGCTTAGCAGGTGCAACAGCCACGCTGTACTCTCGAGCGAGCCGCGTTTGTACTTTGCCAGTGGTTAACCTCATGGGAGTTTCCTGAGCACATGGCGTTATTACAGCTCTTGTGGGAACCAAGCCGCCACTTATATTAAGTCTTTTGTAGGCTGAAGTGCATTGTGCAAAAGTAAGTAAGCTTCACACGATGTCTGCCCTAAAACATTTTCTACCGAGAGAAGTAGCTACACACGCCGACACCATACATTGCAGCGCGTATAGAGAACAGTGGTTTCTCTATGCGAGTCAACAAGCTTTCAGCGCGTGCCTAGTACAGCAAGGACTGAACGGGGGGGAGGCCGCTCCGCGCAGCCTTCGTACGCGGTAACTACATAGGCTTCCCACCTCTCGGAGGCACTTCGAGAAAATTGGCGGCGCCCAATGAGAGCGCGTAGACTGCAAAGGGCGGGGCTAAGCTGGGAGGGTGGGGAATCGCTGGGTGGTGTTGCTGGGAGACCCCGGCCGGGTCAGTGTTCCGTCCCTCCCCGCTGTTATCCCGGCATTTATATATGGGGCGTGTGCAGCTGCTGCGAAGTTCCAGCAGTCTAGATAGCTGCAGCTTTGGTTGAGTCTGTCTTCTCCCACCTCTCTGGGAAACTGATGAGATTAATTCCGATCTCAAGCAGTTAGCCCTTTCCTATTCAGTCGTGGCGCATCCAAAGCTTCCGAGGAAAGTGGGATCTTTCGGTCCTTCCTGCATTTCCGACCATTACAGGATCTAGAAATGTCTACAACACTTTTATCTGCCTTCTACGACATCGACTTCTTCTGCAAGGTAAGAGATGAGTTCGTAGGGTTTTTTTCAAGGAGGCGGTCGGAATAGTTCTTAAAACTTCTTGCAGGAATTTTCCAAGCCTGCATTCCCGGATAAGTGTACCTAGGACTGAGCTCGTTTGAACTCGGGACTATATTTTTTAATGATTTTGTAGAGGGAGAAACTGCAAGATCTGTTGCGTTTTGCAAGAAATTTCGAGGGAAGGTAAAACTTTGACGGACAACAAGCAACTTTTTTGCTTACTTCAGCGTGCGTGTGTAGTGGGTGTGTTTTAAAATAAAAAGGCAGATACAGCGAGCCTCATACTCGGTACGGCAGGCTCCAGCTGTATTGAATCGGAACTTTTAAAGTGCATTGATTCGAGTGGGTGGTGCTGCAGACCACCCCTCGAAAAGTTTTAAATTGGTTGCAATGGGAGGGAGCCTTGACAACGTGGATCAGCGGCTGAAGCTAGTGGGAAAAGGCCCTGGCAGTTCGAGCGCTCGTAGGGCGTACTGAAAATTGGCAAGCCCTCTTCCAAGATTTGGGAGTCAAGGTGCACGTTTTTCCGTTCTAATTTCCCTTCCCCCCCCCCTTTTTCCGCTTCCCAGACCGAAAAATCCTTGAGCAGCATGCTGGACAAGAAGGCAGTGGGGAGCCCTGTGGGCACTTCTCCCAGCTCCAACTTCACGCCGGGCTTTCTGCGAAGGCACTCGACCAGCAATCTTCAGGCTCTGGCTAACGGCAACGTCAAGTTCCCGAATGCCTCGCTGTCCGCGCCCTCTAACTTCGGGAGCCTGAAGGAGCCTGGCACCGGGGCAGGCGGCGGCAGTACCAGCAGCAGCAGCCCCACCACCGCCTTGCTGAACAAGGAAAACAAGTTCCGAGACAGGTCTCTCAGCGAGAATGGCGAACGAAGCCAACACCTCATGCAACAGCTGCAGCAGCAGCAGCAGCAAGTGGTGGTTGTGGCAGCGGCTTCGGCGGGAAAGGGCGGCGGCGGCG